GTTGTGGTTGTCCGCGAGGTTACAAGCCGGCGAGCGGCACAAGCGGATTAAGGACTGGGCGGGTGTCATCCATATTGGGCCTAGCGGATATTTCAAGTTTGAGCCCGCGCCTAACCAAAATATGTGTGATTTGCTAATCTACGCTATATGACTATACCAGCGAGCGTCTAGCAACCATTTCTGCGCGTTCCGAAGCGGAGAGACGCATTCAGGAATGAACAAGTACCAATCACTAGTCTCGTTCGTGGCCAGACAATTCGTCACCTTGGTAGACTCGTAGTACTCTGGATAGAAGCCGGCATATTCCCAGTCAATAATGCCGGTCACGCGACACTGCCCTCCTTCAAGCTTTACTATAATATTTTCAGGCCGAAGATCATTGTGGCTAAGGACATGCTTCTGTGATAGGGGCGGGCAAAGACTTCGGAGGAATTTGATGTAAATTGGGCTTCCATAATGGGGATTGGAGAATTGCCAGTCGTCGAAATCTTCTGTAGTCCAGATAGGGTCGGTTGTACGGCGAACATTTCTCCTCGCATCTTGGCAGCCTTCTCCTGCCACACCTCCAAGTGGCATGTTGTCGGGACGGGTCAAAGACCGTACTTCGATGAAAATATCGTTCAGCTGTGCTTGGACTGAGCGCTTAAGGGAGTCGTCTAGTTTTGGCCAGACTGCTTCGAGTGTTGTGCCAGGCATGAGAGTCATAAAGACGAGGAAACAGTCACCAAGGCGTGCAAGACCAAGTGGTCTTGGTGCAGGAATGGTGGGTTTGTGTTCCTCGAGGTATTGCAGGGTTGTGTATTCAGTCAAGTCGTCCATCTTCATTATAATCTTGAGAGCAATACAGGACTGCACTTGAGGACGATACTGTGTTTGCCCAACGGTGGCGTCCAGACAACTTCGCTCTGTTCAACCAATTTGCGGATACTGTTGGCAAGGGTCGATTCGTCGTGGTCGCTTTCAATAAGGCCTCGGAGGGATTCAGAGAACGGGAACAGGACTGTGGCTGAGGTATGACTATAGAGAAATTGTCGAGCATCGTCAGGAAATGGCGAAGTATCCATCTTGCGAGGCTGTGGATGTGGCTCGTCCCAAGAAGGAGCTGCAAGACGTTAGCTTTAGTTTTACAACTAAAGCATAGTGGTGCGAAGCCCACGAACCATCGGACTTTCGCTTAGCAAGCCGACTTGCATACGTAGAGGGGATTTTGGATGCCAGATCTACTTCTGGGTCCGCTTCTAACTCTCTTTGTAGCTTTCTCATAACCATTTTATTCAAAAACAAAGCCGAAGACCTGTCCACAGGGTCGACCCTGTCTGCTCTCTGACATTGAGGATGCATGCAGATGGCGTCTGTGTCGTGAGGTGAACGATGCATAGCGTCTGTGTTGTGAGGTGAAAGAAGATTCGTTTCAGCGCTAGTGTGTTTAGGTGATTTGAAGTCCACAGGTTGATAACTGTCGTGAGTCCTTGCAGTTGTTTGCGGTCTCGGTCAAGTGCGAGGTTCCAAGCCGGTACAAGCGGATCAAAGACGGTGCGATGCTATCCGCATCGGGCCTAGCAGGTACTCCAAGCTTCGATCAACCACAGCGCCAACCCTCTTGTTATCTACACGTATCCATCACTCAAGCATCATTTCAGCAATGCCGCTATCTGTGCTTTCATGGTAAAGCTGCGATCTTCAGGAGTCGGTGCCGTTTGGAGTTTGGCGGTATCTCATGCCTGCGGGTCAGAAAGAAGACTCAGACGCTGTCAAGCCGACAATGTAGCCGTGACTAGTCAGTATCCATCGCTCTCGATAGTCAGGTGACTCCGGGCACGGTCCGGAAGAGCCTGGACGAGAGGCGCATTGGCTTTCGTCAGCCATGTAGGTTGAGTAATACAGAAGCGGGGTATCTTACCACTCTGCTTGGTAGCCTTAGAATGTTCTTTCTTGTAAGAAAACTCCCACGCGACGCGTGACCCGCCAAGCACAAGAAACCTCACATGTGTTAGCTGACCTATACGTTGCTTCTGGCTTCGTCAACATCAATATTGCCATCGAACTGACTCTCGAGACTGCATGGCAAATACGCTAGCGAGTCGAGCAACACAGCCTCGTCTCCTCTACAGTTACATTGCTCAACCACATTTCTATAGCGATCACCATCATCCAGACCGCCAAAATACCCCGGATGGGCCCATTTCCATCGCGTTCACGAGATCGAGCCGTCGAAGTATCCACACCAATAATGACCTGGTGAAGGGCGTTGTCCACGTCAAATCACAAACCAGAGTCAAATACGTCACCATAAGCTTTGTTGGCAAAACGACCTGTCGCATTGCGAGCGAGCGCAATCCTGCAAACCAGCATATCTCCGAAGTTGAGCTGTTTTGCCAAGAGCAAACGTTATCGAGGAGGGTAACCCCCAGCGCAACCTGTCCCCCTTCGCGGGTAGAGTACCCCTTCGAATTTCGATTTCCAGAAGCAGTGCCAAATGCTACGAAGCTGCAGAATGATACGCCATTCCGACCAGATCCTCTTTTTGAGCACGAGAGTGGTCATCCCCTTCCACCGTCGCTATGGTGGAACGAGAGCACGATATGTAACGAGTACTTTCTGAGAGCACAGTTCGTCACGGAGCAAGCTTCATTCACACTTAGTCCCGTTGTTGTGCAGCAACTCCGCTTTAGCCCGTCGGTTCCGGAGCAAGGTCTATCGCCTACAGCTGCTCTTGTACCAGCACCACCAATACGTTTTGAGCGTAGATCGAGACCATCAACTCCAGATCCATCTAAGGAGCGGCGTAACTCGCTGCGACGGCTCAAGTCGGGCCTGCGTGGTGGGGGGAAAGAAGAAGAGATATCCTCGACGTCGCTGTTAGTACTCAGTGCACCCCCAGAGTATCGCGTTGGTGCTGCCAGCACGATCAAGCTATCACTGCAAGCAACGCTAAGCGACGGTGATACACAACCAGCACCCGTGTATCTTCGTGGCATCCGCGCACAAGCAATGACACACATCAACTTCCGAGTCCCGCTAGCATCTGCACCAAATGGAGAGATACGCAAAGAGAGCGTCGAAAAGTTCGACCTCTTCAATCAGCGATACAGTAAACCTGGAATAGAACTCACTTTGGATACCATCTTGGAGGGTTTTGAGATCAACAAGATTGTGCCCCCCACATTCAAAACATACGGTATCGCACTTCACTATGACGTCAAGTATGACCTTTTGCTCGAATGCGCGGGCAAAGAGTCGGAGCATGAGATTGATGTCGATAATGTGGTCATCGAGCCGATGACAAGGCCTGGTGGGCATCTTGGGCCGCCGGATGAGATGCCGCCAGTAAGCGGCTCGGATGAGAGCTTCATATTGGAGGAAATGCTCCGGGATGGTGAGCGTGTAGCGGAACAACCACCGCCCTATTACAGATAGAAGATGCAGCTATCGCAATCATCGGTGCTACGTGACCTATTCGATCATTCGTGACAACATGGACTGTGAATGTGAGCAACACAGCGTGCAGTCTGCACTTGCTGGCAACTAACACGTGGCAAGCAACAAAGAGAAACGGCACTAATTTGGAGCTCTCTTTTTCCCCAATCGAGAGGCACGTATAACATAACTCTGATTATCTCGAATACAGCATATATTACTGAAATCGTTCGCACTCAACTCTTACAATCCACCAACCCCCAAAATACCTCCAGCGCATTTACCCAACATATCCACACGCACTACATTACCTCAGCAATCCTCCATCTCCCTGAAGATCCCCCCGAATCCAGGTCTATACATCTGCCCCTGCGGTATGAACGCGGGCGTCTGGCTCGTTGCCGGCGCGAGCAAATGCTCGATGTGCGGTTGGTCGTGGGGTATGTACGAAGCCGCCCGTATAGCGGGGGAGAAGAGGAGAGATCGACAAGACACAGAAGGATGTGGAGATGAGAAGAAGTAGAAGCCATGTATAACGGCGTGTTGATGCGGATATGGGTGCGCAGCTATCGGAGAACATGAAGTCGAAAGGAATATCGAGTATTTATATCTCAATTCTTCCTGGGCGAGCGTCTGGTCGCCCCGTGGTTTAGATAGCCTCGCCAATGTATGACTCGATGCAAACGCTCAGACCATTGAATGCACGAGTCCGTATGAATGCTCATATACTTCACACTTGGCATGAGGTGACTGACTTACACCTACAAGACTCCTCCAACATGTGGCTCACTCAATCTTTTGGGTGTATAAATGCTGAACACTAACAAGTTTGTCTTTCTACAACAAAACCATACTTTCAGAGATCTCAATATATCAACGATTCGATCGATAAGACACAGCAACCATCACCAACTGCGACATCCATAGTTTCGGGGATAGCGATACACACTCCCTCGCTGAGAACCCTGAATTAGTCAAACTCGAATACAACTTGCGCCACTATGGCGATCTTGCCAAAAGACTACCACGACCCCATTGTCGACTGCAAAGGACGCGAACAAGATGCTTGCAGCTGCGAACAGCATCAGAATCAGATCTTGCCAAATAGAGAGTCATGCCAGTACCCCGAATGTGTCAAGATACCTACGATTCCCGAAAAACGAAACGTGAAGGAGGACGGAAAGCAGGAGAAGGTGGAAATGCAGGACGGTAGAAATAATTCAGGAAACTGACGCGAGAGCAAGAGACGCCAAACTCTCCTGATGAGATCGAGGTCAGGATGTGTGGGAAGATCTTCGTGCTTCAATCCGGCTGGGCACAGCAAAGTTTCACATCTTGTAGGGGTGCATTGAAGTGATGGCAGTGGAATGCTTTTGTCTGAGAAGGTCATCGGAGAATACTCGGCTTAATGTGTGCATTAGAAAATAGATCTATTCGTCTCTCAACATTCTCAGATCCCGTAAAGGGCAACTCCATGTGAGAAGGTACTCGCAACACCCATCACCTCTCCGCAGCAACAAGAAAGAGAAGAAAAGGATATCATATAATCAGACCCAAACACTCATACGTATATCTGCAACATCTCAAGGCTTCACACAAGCAACCATGAGCTTCTCGTAATCGCCGCGCGTCTCTCCTTCTATCCTCTTGACCAAGTCCTTCTTGTAGACCTGCTTGTACGCGTTGCTGACGGCGTTCATAAAGTTCTTGTCCCAGTGGCAGCGGACGACGCGTTGTACGAGGATATCGTCCTTTGTACCGAGGCCAGCCATCGATTCCTCTAGACGGACGGCTTCAGCCTCGGGCCGGTTGGTGGCACGGTGGATAAGTAGGCGGAGTGCATCTTCCATGTGGCCTGAGAAAGCGGACTTGATGACGCTGTCGAGGGACTTGTGGAAGCGCTGCTGATAAGAGTTCGCCATGGCCTTGAGCTGCGCGTCGTTTTTGCTGGTGAGGATCTGGCAAACTTGGGGAACGTTCTTGCTAGCAAAGCCACCCATGCCGGCTTGAAGATCGGTGACAGCCTGCTCAATTTCTTGGGGGTTGACCGGGTATGAGTCTTCTGCGCGGCGGGCCGAGATGATCATGTCGTACATCTGTTCCGTTCCGGCACTTAGGTCGCCCTGAAGGTCTTTCTGTAGCGGCCGTTGGAATAGTTCTTGGTACTTCTGCTTGATGGCGTTGATGTCGGCGTTGCTTCGGCCGATCAGGATGTCGTCCAAGATGACCTCCTTTGTACCCATGCCCTTCATTGCTTCCATGAGGTTGTAGCAGTCGGATACTAGAGGGCCGCGTGCAATTTCGACAAGTCCTTTCGCGAAATAGCCGCTAGTCTCTTTCTCGAGATCTTGGACCATGTTTCGCATCAGGCGTTGGTCGTATTGCGCCCGAATAGTGTTGACCTGGATAGGATCCCTCTTCGCCAAAACCGCGATGAGCGCCTTTTCGTCAGTTCCGAATCCCTTCATTGCTTTGCGGACAGCTTCAACATCTTTGCTGACGTCGATGTTGGCGACCTGCATAGGGCCATAGCCGAGGGAAGCCTGAGTTGGTGGCCCGCCGAAACCCCCTGGCGCACCGAACTGGCCTTGGGGAGGTGGAGCACCGAATTGACCCTGTGGTGGGGGCGCACCGTATTGCCCTGGGGGTGGTTGCTGCCCAAACTGGCCTGGCGGAGGACCAGGTGGTGGTTGATACTGTCCTTGGGGCGGTTGTTGGCCGTATTGGCCTGGAGGTGGCGCGCCATACTGTCCTGGAGGTGGTTGCTGTCCATACTGGCCCGGAGGTGGCTGTTGTTGATATTGCCCAGGTGCGCCATAACCCTGTTGCGGAGGAGGAGCTCCATACTGGCCCTGGGGTGGAGCGCCGTACTGATTTGGCGGCGGCGCACCATATTGACCTTGCGGTGGTTGCTGACCATAACCTTGTTGAGGCGGGTAGCCTCCGTACTGTTGGTTCTGCATTGGTGGCGGTTGTTGATAGCCTTGCTGTGGAGGTGGTTGATACTGTTGATGTTGACCGTAACCCTGTGGCGGCGGGGCTTCTGTAAGATATTAGTACAAGATCAGGCTTCAGCGCCAAGTGTTGCAAGCCATGAAGGATGCAATGATCGCCGGGCTGTGAAGAGAGGGCCTCAACTTACGGCCCGGATACGGCTGCTGATAACCGCCTGGTTGGTTGTAGTTGTAGGACATGTCCAGCTGTAATTTAGGCAGGGTAATGCAGGAATAAGCTCTAGAAGTAGGTAAGACCGACGTGCGACTCGGATAATAAGGCAAGTGGTATGGGAAAGAAGAGGGGGAAATACCGACTGCCCGCTAAAGAGTGGTTTGCACCAAAGGTTGCCGTGGCTGAGTCGTATCGCTCAGCCCTGCCAGTGGTGGGGTAGGGTCAAGAATTAGTTTGGCTCATGACGAAGAATCTGGCTTGGCATGGTCAGCCATCGGGTTTAGTGGCGTGGTATGCGAACACCTTCTGCCGCGTGGTTGGTACGGTGGGTAAGGCGGCCACTGCCCAACGCTAATCCGATGCTTAATCGGGTCGTTGCCTGTGGCGATGCACGCTCAGAAGACATATCGCAAGAGCACAGCCTCAGGGTCGTAACCATGCGCGAATGAATCTGCACTAGATTGTGGCTACATTGCAACGATAATATATTCGAGATAAGGTTGTGGCGTAGCTAGGACGATTTATAAGGGACTCATTCCACGAAAACAGTTTACGTACGCTGCGCCTTGGCAAGTCACTTGGACCTCACGATCTATGTTCGCATGGAGAACAGCGTCATGCAGTATCTGTGGTACGCGTCTGTCCGCATCATAATGATCGCGCAAAAGTCCGCGTCAACTTGTGGGCTCTCTTTCGCACGAAATACTGCATCGTACCCCCATTCAAGAATCGTCTATATTTTGTAACTCGTGCGTATCACGAAGACAAATGATAGATGATGCGATAATGTGCGATGGCCTCCTCGGCCGCTGGCGCTGGCGCTGTGCCAAGCTTATGTCACAATCCCAAGCTTCCATATGATCGGCAGCCCTTTCTCCTCTCCACCAACAACATCTCTTTACTGCACACCATCTTGAATCACTAACGCCAGGCACCCCAACTTTAATCCCAACCCGCCGGTGAACTTTCGGCCAAGACACTGACATCATAGCATGCGGCGCACGTAGCCCCTCATGTTTTCGCCGTCGATTGCGCATCACGAGTATGCCTTGGCAGTCGGAAGCGATCTTGGGTGAGCACTAATTGGTCAGGAGCACCCATTGAACACTTTAGTTCACCGAGGAAGATTTAGCACGTGCAGGTGGACAAAAAAAACGGGGTGAGAAGAGGACCGATGGAGGCGCATCATGGAAGTATAATAGAGCCAAGCCAGCGATCAATGTCTGGAGGATATTGACATAAGTTGGGTTTGTTGGAACGATTAATCCGAGCTGCGACCAACATCTTTCGAACAACCAACTTACCCGCCATCACCCCGAATTCTGTGATAGACGGGACATAGCCAGCCGCATACGCCATCCAGCATCGCCGATCACCAACCCTGAAACAGGGCACTTCCCGCGAGGCTACACTTAAGCATATCGCGTATAGGAAAGCCAGAGATATAAACGAGAGCAGAGCCGGTGCACGAAACAGTCGCCCTATCAGCCCGTCTTTCATCCATCAAACACTACGATGTCGTCCTACGACTCTGCCAGATCGGGATATCAGCCCCATCCGCAATACTCACAACAACAACCACCCTATCCCACCACACCGGGAGCACCACAACCACAGCAACCAACAAACTATTTCCCACCGATCCCCGAACAACAACCCATCTACTCCTCCTCACCAACATCGCCCTACAACAGCGGCGCAATGACAATGCCCCAACCACACATGCCAACCCACCGCCGCACCTCCTCCTCCTCATCCTACAACAGCCAACGCCCCACACACCTCCAACACACGCCCTCCCAAGCAATCCCAATCCGCCAACCAGACCCACACTCCTACCAATACCAACAACCCACCCATCTAGCTCCCACCTCGTACCCTCCACCCGTTGCCTACGCGCCACAGGCCGCACCCATCTACGCGCGCTCTTCATCGCAGCAAAGCCACTATTCGCACCACAGCACACACGCACACAATGCGCATGCCTATGCGGACGGAGAGGACAAGTACGAGGACGAGCATCATAGACATCATGATCAGCATTATGGGGAGCTGGATCCGGAGACAGAGAGGGAGTATAAGAGGAGGTATGCGCGGGAGAAGGAGGTGGAGAGGAGGCCGACGTTGGGTGGCAGTGTACTGAGCATGATTGGGAAAGTCGGAGGGCTGCTTGGGAGCGATAGGCGGTGATGCTCAAGGGCGGTGGTGTGAGCGGATGTTGAAGGTTTGGAAGCGATACCCCACGGATGTTTCCTTTTGTCTTGCTGCTTCGGCGGTCGTTGTACGATAGTGGAAAGCGCCAGATTAGCGCTATGATATGACGAATTAACTTTTGGATGATTGAATGAAGTAATTGATCTCGAATTCGTCGTGCAATATGTATAAAGGTAGTGCTGCTGAAATCCCCTATAAACGCCTCTCGCTGATAGAGAGGAAGAAACGCTGTCAGACGCCAAGTAGTAATGCAGCCGATGAAACGTCAAAACAGAAACTTTTCGTACTTCAGCGCTTGAAGCCGATATGGAAGTGTTGGCCCTGCCCAACAAGTTTTTCGTGCCCATGTTCTCGCCACTTTCGTTGCCAACATGGAGGTGGCAGATAGGTTGCGATACTGACGCCCCAGCCGCAGCTCGCTGCTGAGGGTGTACGCAGGCCGGTGGCTTGTAGACCTCCGAGAATGTGTTGCCTCGGACGCGACACGGCATTGTCCGGCCCGTCGCGTCGCCTTCTGCCGTCCATTCCTTTCCCGACCCGGTGTAATATGCACTCTATGCGTATACGATTATGTAATTGGCGAGCTCGGTACAGACGATTCGTGGTCGTGATTCGTTCAGCTGAAGGTCTCGCCAATGTGACGCTCGCTTTCGGGTTTCCAGGTGCCTGTTACTAGTTAGTATTGAGGAAACCAGAGACTCGAGACGGGTGTAATGGAAGGATGCGCGCGGCCCGACGTATCGTTCCGCGTGGTACTGTGCAGCGTAGCACGGCACTCACAAGGCGCGATAAGAAAAGATTGTCACGTACCTTCAAAGTTGTGCTTGACATAAGCCATTGGGTCGTCATCCTCGCCAGCGCCCATAGTCTTAATGCCGGGGCTGAAACTGGTGATAGGCAGCACAATGACGTCGCCGACCTTCTTGGGCGCCTTCATGCCAGTGAAGTTCTCCCATGTAATGTTGCCCTTGCTCGTGCTCATGTCAAAGTAGTCGGGGTTGTTGAAGTAGTTGAAGATGGTATCGGTCCAGACGGCGGGCCCAGTGAACTCGATTATGCCCTTGTAGTCCTTGCTGAGTTTGCCGGCGCGCTTGCGGTCGAGTGTCTCCTGTGTGATGTTTGCGACCACATCGACGAGAACAGGGTGGCCAGGCTTAGACTGAATGGTCCACTGGCAGAACTGGACACGCCGAGAGTACCACTGAGCCCAGTCTGGACGATCTGGGTCAGCCTCAATGCCAATGACCATTCCGTAGCTGTTTGCGGGCACATCAGAAGGTATCCAGTCTGACGCGGGCTTCAGTGCCGAAGTGTCAATATCCGAGTAGATGCCGCCACGAGCTAGAAGGATCAGGTAGCGGAAGAAGTCGGCTTTTAGGACAGGCACGGGGAGGGCGTTGTAGGCTTCGATAACCTCGGGGACGGAGGAGTAGAGGTGTCTGATTAGGTGTACCGCGACGTCGTCGGTGATAACCTCGTGGACGAAAGATGGGTGGTGTATGCTCCAGCTGGCCTCTGGCTCGCGGAACATCTCGTCAAACTGACCCTGCGCCGGTGTGTACTTCCACGTCTGCCAAATGTATGCGGGTGTCTTCGCGTCGACGTCGTAGGGGAACTGGTACTCGAGCTGGTCCTTGAGCGGGCGCTCTCTCAGCTCGTCCATGCTGACTTGAGTTTTGGGCTTCTTGCGCGCGGGCACATCGGGAGTGTCAAAGGTCTTGTCTGCCTTTTCCGTTGCCTTTTGCGCCTCTTTCGACTGCTGCTCCTTGGCCTTTGTGCGTTCTCTGTCTGCTGGGTTCACCCAGGCCGTGGGCCGGGGCATTTCCTTTGCATTGCGGAAGTTGGGGGTTGTGCTACCGTGGTGCTGCGACTTGAAGATGAAGAATAGCGTTAGACAGGCCAGGGAAAGCACGAGGGCCTTCTTGAAGGTAAGCATGGTGGCGGGCGCGGTTGAAGAGCCAGGCGAATAATGAGGAGGGGCGTCCTCGGTGGTGGAAACGGCGGGCACAGGTGGAACTCGATAGGGCCTAGGTGGGAAGATATACTATCAAAGCAGACGCCCTGGCTAGGCTTGGGGGTACAGAGTGAAGGCCGGCGCGCTGCTTCGGGAAGTCTTGACCTGGCGGGTGAAAGGGCTAGTGGTTGCGGTCGTGAGAAGGAAATGAGAGGTGGAACGCGCAATTCACGGACACGAGGGAGGAACGAACGACATGGAGAACGGTGAAAGCTGTAGAGGCTACTGAGAGCATGGGCGGCGGCGGCGATACCACGGGCTTTTTGAAAGAACCTCCAAAGGGCCAAAGCCAAGCAGGGGGTCTGCGAGTTTCATGTTCGCAGGCGCGCTAAGAGGCTAGCGTGCCTGTCGCCGGCGAATGTTCCATGGCCGACTCAACATCGCGGCAAAGCTTGTTCCAAATCAGTTGGCGCACCGAGTCGCCTGTAGGAACAACCCTGGTTGAATTACGACGCTGGGACGATCTCTCACGCATTTCCCACGCCTCTCGTGCATGCCGGGTGGAGAGCCTGGGAATGACAGGTATACCTCTTCGCACCTCGTCAGCCTCGAATCCCCACGCCCACCTTGGCTGCGACGACGGGGATGCATGGCAACGGCGATGAAGGCCTCTTTGAGGTCTACGATGGCTACACCCATTACTCCCCCAACGCTTGACTCTGGCCCGTCTTCGATTCATTGTCGCGTTGACGCGCGTTGGCTCCAGGCTCGGAAGGAGCTAGGTGAAACGCCGCGTCCTACCTCTTGGAGCGTAGCCCTCCCGCGTCATTGTGTCCAGCTGCTGCCGCTCCAACATTG